AGGTATTCATCCTGCAATACAAGTACAACACCGAGATAGCCCCCACACGCGAAGTGTTGACTCAAACTGAAAAGAGAAGAAGTGAGTCCTTTAGGGCCTTTGCTCAAAGATGGTGTACTCTCGCCGCTTAAGTTCGACCTCCACTCAACGAAAAGGAGCTACTGGATCTCTTCCTCAAGGCTTTACCTAATGATTTCTATTTAAAATTGGTGGGCTCTGGATGCCTGACCTTCTCTCAATTGGTAGATGTCGGAGAGAGGGTAGAGGGGCCATGCATGATGGTAGATTGAATGAAGGAACTAGCAGGAAGGTCTCGAATAGAAAAGAAAGGGATGTGGAGATCGCGTATGTACGAGCGCCGATTATGACGAAGCCCCTTGCCTCATCCTCTCAAGGCCTGCCTATGTTCCGAGAGAGGGCATATCAGAATTATGAATTCAAAAGGAGAGCACCAAGGCAGTTCACTCCCCTGCCTAGGCCCTTGTCCAAGTTGTTGCCCATGTTGTTGAAAAGGGGGATGATAGCCAAAGAAATACCTCGAGATAATCCTCCAAAATTCCTCAGGTTTGATTTGTCGAAGTCCTGCAAGTTCCATAGAGGTGAAAAAGGTCATGATGTAGATAACTACCTCACTCTTAAGATCAGAGTTCAGGACTTGCTTGACAAAGGCATTTTATCCTTCAAAGAGATACCGCCTAATGTTCAACAAAACCAGTTGCCCAATCATGCTGAGAACTTCAACGTGGTTATGGAGAAGGGTAATGAGGGTAAGCAAATCTTTAAGGTGGATGTTCATGAGCTGTACGAGCTATTAATGTCAGCTGGACACATTGAAGAAGTGGAGGATATTTTGATGGAAGATAAGTTGAAATGTATCACTCAGATGGTCGACATGGGTATAATCTACAGTTTGAAAGAAGATAGTATGATGGCTCTGGCGGCTGTCATTGACTCATCTTTTGAGAAGGAGTCGGAGGAGATACCTGTTGAGCTTACAGAAACTAATGAGCCGACTAATGATGGCGCTTCGGAGAGTCTAATTGTGACCGACAGTGAAGGAGAGAATTCGTATAATGATCTTGGACCTCAAGCTAGCAATGTCAATTGGAATCATAAGTTCATAAAGCTCGCTCACGAGAATGAGGAAGTGGTTGACACACTGGGTCAACCTAGCGGCAAATTCGACTATTTTGTGAAGTATTCACCCCCACCGAATTTCTTCATCGATCCCAAAGATGTTGTTCCTGATGGATGGAGAGGTATGGACGATCCACTTGAGCCCGAGGAGGAGATGGTTGGCATGATTACCCTGTGGTGATTGACTTATCTGTCGAGGAAGATTTATGAATGCCAGACAAGGGAGATGCCGAGCATGTAGTCATCGACCTTATGGCCGAAAAGTTCGCTACCATGAGATCGATGACTGCGTCATGGAGCCAATGGTGATTGAACTCCCGCCTGAGGATGAAGAAGACATAATAGTAGAGAGAACCCCGAGTTACAACCCCAAGGCAATTCTTTGAAATTATAAGACGGACGAGATTGACGCCATCATACGTTCAGGCCGTTGCTATGTACCTGCTGGGGTAGTTGAGAAGAAAGTCGTCTCAGATGAGGAAGCGAAGCAGTTCTTGGCAATTGTCAAGACGAGAGAATTTAACGTTGTGAATCAGTTGAGAAAGATGCTCGCCCATATCTCTCTTTTGGACTTCTTTAAATCATCTGATAAGCATAAAAATGCACTACTGAAAGTCCTTAATGAAGTGCATGTGCCGGAGGATATCGATGATAGTCAGCTAGAGGAGTTCGTTGGATCCGTTTTATTGAAAGATCAAATCTCGTTTGCCGATGAAGACTTCCCCGTTGAAGGCCGCAACCATACTAAGGCGCTACTTATTTCGGTTAAGTGTCTTGATAGAATGGTGGCGAGAGTGCTAATTGACAATGGGTCTGCATTAAACATTTGCCCACTTGCCACCCTTCGTCATCTAGGAGTGAATGAAGAGAAAATTTTGGTATCTAAATCTACCGTTTGTGCTTTTGACGGTATGAAGAAGGAAGTTATTGGTGAGGTTGAGCTTGAACTGCTGATTGGTCCGGTCATTTTTCTGGTTAACTTTCAAGTCTTGGAAATCCCTAGTGTCTTCAATTTTCTACTGGGACGACCTTGGATACACACCGCCAGAGCTGTGTCCTCTAGCTTGCACTAGAAGGTCAAATTCATCGTGGATGGGAAACTGATAACTGTTCATGGAGAAACTGATTTCAAGGTCTTTCACGATACTACGATCCCATATGTAGAACCCTAGAACAAAGCTGAATCGAGCTATCAGACTTTGGAGTTAGTCTCGATGGTCCATGTGCCCGTTGGAACTATTATGCGAAACCCAGAAATGACTAAGCCTTCGATCATGTCGAGCAGGGTGTTGCTAAAAAATGGTCATATTCCCGGAACCGGCTTGGGCACTGCATGGTCAAGGTATCAAAGAACCCCTTCAGGTTTCTAAGTGGCGCAAAAGGATAGGCCTAGGTTATCATGGAGACGATTCTGGTGGCCGAGATAACCATGAAGGACGAGGCAGTCTCGGAGGTCGAGATCATCATGGGGGCCGTGGTGGCCAAATTAATTATGGTGGCCGAGGAAGTAATGAAGACAGTGGTGACTACGGAAGCCTAGCTAATCGTGGATGTTGCGAAGGTCGTGGAAGTCTATTTGGATTGGGAGAAGGTCAGAACGGCTTACTTCTTCCGGAGTTGAAAGAGATATTCCCGGGTCCACCCAAGCTACTACAAGAAGAGCAGGGGGCCGCTCTTAGCCTAGTTGATTTATTCAGGGGAGAGTTCGCCTGCGCTATCATGGAAAATGAAGAGGCCGAGCTCTCTGCTACCACTGCCAACCCTTCTGAGTAGGGATGCCGCTTTTGTTTCTTGTTTCGCCTTGTTTAAGTTTATGTTCACCCCTTCCATGGGAAGTCTGTTTAGATCTAGGTGTTGTTTTTCTTTGTAATCAAAGTCTTGGACTGTGAGCCATAGGTCCAAGACCTCGAGTCATGTAAACAGCCTTATCTTGTTAATAGAATCATGATCATGTTTTATTAAGGACGTGTGGAAGTACCCAAACTAGGCTGATAATGATGCTTTAAGACCTGGACTTCCGCACGCTTCCTAGTTTCCAAAATCATTTGTGGATAAGGATGTCCAAGGATATGAGGACGGATCCCTCATTTTCAAAAACTCTTTCAAAATGATTTCAAAACACATGCATATTATTAGTTGCAATAACATTTGCCAATTTAATTACTAACCTTCTTTGTTGCATCTCAGGCATAACATTTCACATGATCATGATAGGTGTATATGTGAGTTGAATTTGCTTGACGAAAATTCCTCTGGGACCGATGATGATAAGGATGACTGTGATCGGAAAAGTATCGAATGAGATTGGATTCGGCATGAAGAGTCTGAGCCGTTGATCGCGGAGCCTACAATCACAATAAATCTGGGCGATTCGGAGAATGTTAGAGAAATCAAGATTGGAGCTAGCCTTTTTGAAATCAAGGCTAGAAGGATGGTCGACCTTTTAAAATAATACCAAGATGTGTTCGCAAGGTCATATGCGGATATGCCAGGGTTAGATAGGAAAATTGTAGAGCATGCTCTCCCCACTGATCCGAGTATCCCGCCTAAGAAACAAAGGCTCAGAAGAACAAAGCCCAAATTATCCAAGAAAATCGAAGAAGAAGTCATGAAGTTGTTGAAAGTGGGCTTCATAAAAGTGTCGCACTATTCTGATTGGATCACCAATGTCGTCCTCGTCATGAAGAAGGATGATCGGGTCAGGGTTTGTATTGACTATCGCGATCTGAATCGAGCGAGTCCAAAAGATGACTTCCTGCTGCCTCACATCGATGTGTTGGTCGATAGTACTGCAGGGTTGAACTATTCTCCTTTATTGATGGATTTTCTGGTTACAATCAAATTCGGATGAAAGAAGAGGATAAAAGTAAAACCCCCTTCATTACACCATGGGGGACCTTTTGTTATAAGGTAATGCCTTTTGGCTTGAAGAACGCCGGGGTAACATACCAAAGAGCAATGGTCACCCTGTTCCACGATATGATATATAAGGAGGTGGAGGTCTACGTAGACGATATGATTGCCAAATCCAAACATGAAGAGGACCACATCGAGGTGTTGTGGAAGTTGTTTGATCGACTTCGAAGGTTCAAGCTAAGACTTAACCTTGCCAAATGTGTGTTTGGGGCAAAGTCTGGGAAACTATTGGGGTTATGGTCAGTAGTCGAGGCATTGAAATTGACCCGTCGAAGGTTAAGGCCATTTGTGATTTGAAGCCTCCTTCAACTGTCAAAGAGGTTCGAAGTTTGCTAGGAAGACTGAACTATGTGATGAGATTTATTTCTCAATTGTCTGAGATAGTTAAACCTTTCTTCAAGCTCTTGAAAAAGAATGCCAAAGTCGAGTGGGCTACCGATTGTCAAAGGGCCTTTGAGGAAATAAAACAATACCTCTCTCATCCGCCGGTTCTGGTGCCACCTGTCCCTAGAGTGCCATTGATACTCTATTTGACTATTCATGATGAATCGTTGGGAGCCTTACTAGCTCAAAAGAGACCAAGTGATGATAAAGAATGTGCAATGTACTATCTCAGTAAGAAGTTTACTTCATCCGAAATAAATTACCTCAGAGTTGAAAAAACATGTGTGGCTTTAGTGTGGGTGTTATATCGCTTACGCCAATACACACTCCATCGTCGGATTCTGCTTGTAACTGAGAATGATCCTATCAAATATTTGCTGGAAAAACCTACGTTGGTTAGAAAGTTAGCAAAGTGGCAAGTTCTGGTGTCCGAATTCGACGTCCACAGCATGGCACAGAAATCCGTCAAAGGAAGAGCTATAGCTGACATGTTGGTAGAAAACTTTGAAAGGTCGGAAGACCATGATCAGTTAGATCCTATAGAATAGCACATTTTGGAAATAATGAGTGATAAGTGGACTATGTACTTCAATGGTGTCGTTAACCTGGCTGGTTCCGGGACTGGGGCAGTCCTTATCTCCCAGACGGGTCAGCACCACCCTGTGGCCGCCAAGTTGGTATTCCCTTGTACCAACAATGTCTCAGAATACGAAGCTTGCATACTGGGATTGCAATTGACCGTCGACATGAAAGTTAGGAAGCTGCAGGTTTACAGCGATTCCGCCCTCATCATTCTTCATACAGAGGGTCAATGGCGAACCCCCCATGACCCCAAATTGATCCCTTACCATGAATTCCTTGAGGAGTTAATAAAGGAATTTAAGGAGATTTCTTTTGAGTATTTACCCCAAGCGCAAAATCAGTTCGCCGATGCCCTGGCCACATTGTCATCAATGCTACAAGTCATGGAAGGGTTAGACATCGAGCCACTGAAAATCAAAATACTGACACGTCCGCTTTTACTGTTAGGCAATCGCGAATGAACCTGATGAGAAGCCGTGGTATTACGACATCATGAACTATCTTCAAAAGGGTGAATACCTTTATGGGAGTTAACTAGCGGATCAGAAGTACGTAAGGAAGCTAGCGTCGAAATTCTTCATCAGTGGCAATGCTCTTTACAAGAGGTCTTTTGACTCAATTTTGTTGAAATACGTTAATGCCAAATAAGCTAATCAGTTGATGAGAGAAATACATGAGGGCGAATGCGGTTCGCACATGAACGATCATCTTTTGGCCAGAAAAATTATGAGACTGGGTTACTTTTGGATGGCTATGGAAGCTGACTGTATTCAGCATGTTCGTTATTGCCATCGGTGCCAAATCTATGTCGATAAAATCAATGTGCCCCCGAATGAATTGCGCCAAATGCCTGAGCCATGGCTTTTCTCAATGTGGGGGATCGACATGATTGGGCCAATTAATCCTAAGGCTTCCAATGGACATTGCTTCATCTTGGTAGCCATCGATTACTTCACCAAGTGGATCGAGGTGAACTCATATGCCAATGTTACCGCCAAGAATGTGGCCAAGTTTATTCGCCGTGACATCATCGCTCGCTATAGAGTCTCGGAGGTGATCATTACTAATAACGGCTCAAATCTGAAACAAGGTTGTAGATGGCTTACTTGACGAGTTTCATATTTGTCACTTGAACTCCTCACCTTATCGTCCATAAATGAATAGAGCTGTGGAGGCAGCCAATAAGAACATAAAGAAGATCTTGTCAAAAACTGCCGATAACTATCGAGACTGGCATGAACGGCTGCCTTATGCGTACTTCGACAGGGGCGACTCCTTTCCCGCTTGTTTATGGTATGGAAGCGGTCTTACCCGTGGAAGTCGAAATCCCTTCATTAAGGATTCTCTCACAAGCTGAGCTCTCTGAGGAAGAGTGGACTCAACAGAGGTGGGATCAGTTGAACATGATCGATGAGAAGAGACTAAAGGCTTTATACCATGGTCAATGCTACCAAAAGCGAGTTGCAAAGTTCTTCAATCGCAAAGTCCGGCCTCGACATTTTGAAGCCGTAGATCTCGTGCTAAGGAAAGTGCTATCCCTCACACCAGAATTAGGTAGAAAGTTCGCTCCTAATTATGAGGGTCCATATGTCGTTAAAAAGGTTCTACTTGGGGGTGCCTTAGTTCTTGTAAAAATGGATGGCCAAGAGTTGCCAAACCCTGTAAACGCCGATTCAGTGAAAAAGTATTTTCCTTGAATGAAATCCAAGGCCCGAGAGCCATTTTCGATGCAATCCGAATCACTGTAGGTTATTCACATCATGCATATCATGCATATATGCACACATGTTTACTTTGTAGGTCCCAAACAATCCGCAAATTGATCCGCAAACGACTGAATCGTCCTAGCAAGCATCCAACAAGCCAAATGCGAAAGAGGGGGTTACCAAGTCATTAAGCCGCAGGTAAGTACCCTTTTTCTTAATGCCAAAAGAAGGTCGAATGGAAAATTTGCTTTGAAAAAAAAAAGAGGGTTTTTGACAGGTTTGAAAAAACAAGCATAAAAGTTGAAACTGTGAAAGCATACTTTTCACAAAAATTTTGGATATTGTCTTGATGCTCGGTGGATCGTTCATTTTGAATTGAAATTCCCCGTGGAGATTAACCAACTCAGGCGATCTCAGCAAAACGAGAGGAAACATGTTAATCATGCCAAGCGAGAAATACTTAGAATGAAGAAAGGCAAGCCATTCCCAAACACGTCCCATAAAAACTTTGAGAGTTGAGCGTGAAAAGATCATGTCTTAAGACGAGGGATTCATTCGCAAATAGTACATAGATCAAAGTGAAAAGAGGCATCTCTTTCATCCGTCCTACACACTACAGGTCCCTTTGAGCCTTTACACATTAAGAGTTTATAAAATTACCCCTGTCAAGAACCACCCCATAATAGGGTAAATTTGGAGATTTTGGTTGGCAATATTTGATGAAGAAGACGGGAAAGATTTCTTTGCTCTTACTTGCATCAATCCTTTAGTGGTAAGTTCAGGTGAATCCTTGTAGAAGCTCGAAGCATCCCAAAGTGAAGAAGAGCATTCATTTCTCTACCCAAACACTCATACCCTTTGTTCAGCCAAGTTGAGCATGAATATTCATTTCTAAAGCCCGGGTGGTGATTATCTCTATATACTGGGGCAAAACACGTGATTTACCAAGGCAATTGGTGCCCATGTGACAGCGTCTAAAAAATCTCGAAAGTCCTAGGAGCTCAAAATGTTCAAATGAGCAAAAGTCAAATGAAAGCTAGGGGGCATGAAAAAGCCGTGTGCCTGGTAAAAGCAAGGCCAATGTCTGTAAAAAAAAACGTGTCACATCCAGAGAATAGTTCTCTTGTAAAAAACGTCAAAAGCAAAATGCTTACAAAGAAGAAAGAAAGATCATGGGAAGTGCAAACACCGTTAGAGAAAAGAGCAAAGCTCATGTCAAAATGATTAACCAATGAACTTTCAAGACAAGTTGGGTTTCAAAAATCAATTGCCTTTGAAAAAGATCAGATGATATGGTGATGATGCCATGATAATCACCAACTCTTAAATCCCATTTGAAAAACTTGAGCCTTTCGAGCCTTTCATCAAACCAACGTTACAACCCTTTCCAAAGTCTCTTCTGATTGGGATGGTTCAAGAAGAAATTTGGACTTCCAAAGAAGCTACCGCCGGAAGGAGTGGGGGCAAGGTTGTCTTATCTCATTTTAAGGTTTCTTGACTTGTAAACCTGGCGGAGATGCTGATCGACAAGTATTTCATTTCCTAGTCGATAATGCTTATCCATTGTCGAAACCATAACTAAATCCATATTACGGCCCTTAAAAGACCTCTTGGATTGCTCAATGCATACTTATTGTGAATGATTCTCAAAGCCTTTGACACTGATAGTGTGAGGTATATAGAGAAAACATGCCTATTTCCCGCATCAATGGATGGGAGCAAACAGCCTTCTTTGAGAGCTTGCGAGAAGCCCTTTCTGACTAAGGAACTCTTGTTTGGCATATTAACGAACCCTTTTCATGAGCCAAGGTCTTTTTGACAAAGGTTTATCTCCTATGAGAATTTGATGATTAATGACATATCCCAAGCCCAATGGCAATTTTGTGATATTGAATGATGCTAAATGTTTTCTAAACAATTGAAACTAGTTTGATTTGCTCATGCCATCAACACTTTGTTAGTGATGCTATTCTTTTGATAGTGTCCTTCATGACGTCCAAATGATATCAATCTCGCCTGGTATGCTTTCCCTACCAAGGCATTTGTAATAACATATTCCGTTAGATGTGCAGTGGCCATTTCAGAATCTTCTTGATTGATAGATTTACAGCCTCGGAATTCCACGGCGAGCTTTCGCAGCCTGGAGCACCCCATCAATCTGGCGAGCTTTCGCAGCCCAGAGTCTGTCTTTTTCCTTGCCTAGTGAGCTTTCGCAGCTCGGAACACCCCATCGACCTGGCGAGCTTTCGCAGCCGAGAGTCTGTCTTTTTCCTTGCCCAGTGAGCTTTCGCAGCCCAGAGCACCCCATCAACCTGGCGAGCTTTCGCAGCCCAAAGTTTTTCTTTTTCCTGGCCTGGTAAGCTTTTGCAGCCCGGAGCACCCTATTAACCTGGAGGGCTTTCGCAGCCTAGAGTTTCTTTCTTTATATAGTGAGACTTCGTGTAGCCAAAAGCCCGTTCTTACATGGTATGGCTTCCTTTTCATTCAGCCACAAGCCCGTTAGTTGTCTCTCATGCATCTTCCCTTGCCCTCCATGAACAAAATTTAAGTGTCTTTTATCTTTAAAAGGAACTTACTCGAGCTCTCCTTCAAAGAAGGGCAGTTGTTGACACCTAAATTTTGCTTAATCATTTAGGGTTTTACCGCATAAAAAATTAGGGTTTAATTTTTAACCCCTAAACAAAAAATATTTTCACTAAATTGCATGGCATATAGACATTAGGTACATTTGCATTAATAGGGCCTATTAAAACATATTCATATTTAAAAAAAAATGTGTCTTTCCGGGCTAGGTCAATCGGCCCATTCTTTTTCTTTCCCTTTCTTTTTATTTTTCGTGCGGCCCATCTTTGTGTTCTTTTTTTATTTTTCGCGCGGGCCGGCCCTTTTTCCTTCGGCCCGACCCGCGCACTGTTCAACCTCCTCCCTCCCCAGTCAACATTTCTAAGCGTACGGGGGAGGAAGAGAAGAAATGGAACAGAAGCCAGAACTCGGAACAGAGGCAGAACAACGCAGAAGCCAAAGAGGTGGGGCGACAGCGCGATTTGCGGGTCGACAGATCGGCCGGCCATGGCAGGATGGCAGTGGCAGGGGCCATTCGAACCTGCCTGCTAGCCGGCTTTAAATCGAGGCTGGAATGAGAGATCGGGGGAGAGAGAGAGAGAGAGAGAGAGAGAGAGAGAGAGAGAGAGAGAGAGAGAGAGAGAGAGAGAGAGAGTGTGTGAGTTCGAGAACGTCGGAGAGTGAGATTCGAGGGGCGAACGGTCTCCTGTCCTCGACCGTCACGCCTCAACCGTGGTCGACGACGGTCCGGCGCATCCCGTTCCACGCGGTAGGTGACGAATCCGAGCCACTGTCGGGTTTTGTTTCGTGTGACCCAAGGCCGATTTCCCGAGGATTTCGGCTCGGAGGCGTGCGAGGCGACCGGAGGTAGTCTGATCTGTCAAGTTCGCCACTGTTCACTGTCGCCGAGCCGGATAGGGAGCGCCGCAGCCCCTTCCCCTATTTTAGCTTCTTTCCCCTATTCTTGGGCTCACTGGCCGGAGCTCGCGGCCGTCCGGCTTGCGCGAGTTCCGGCCCGTGATGCCTCGTGCTTGTTCTTTCTTCTCTGTGTGTCTTGTGTTGATGATTTCGGTCTATTTTGAGCCTCAATAGAGCCTAAAATCTCTCGTTTTCATCGCGCGCACCAACTGTTAGACGTTTTGCCTGAACCAAATTTCTTTGGTTTGTCTCTGTTCTGCTGCATTTTTGGGAGT